AATGCTGTTGCCATTCAAAACTTGAGGAGTCTTTAACGCATCGTCTGAAATGTTTTAATATATGTGGAATATTGGAGATGATAAGAATTCAGGGGGTTAGTGAACCGAAGGTCTTTCGGGTAGGGGGATGTAGATGCGGCAGTACTTGGAGGTGGTGTCCTTCGGTACCCGAGTACTCGAGTACAGTACGTATCAGCCTGACGGTTTACCAATCAGTTCCTTCGCATGCCAAGGAATCACCAACGCACATGACCCCTCGGCCAGCCCAGGTTGAAAGCTATTATACGTATATCGTATTGTGATGTATGGGACTAGGTTACAACTTAATGCCTGTAAATAATAGGTTAAACTAGAGCCACTGCATTTGAACGACCTGAGGATGGGTACTTTCTATAGTCGAGTATGGGTCATTCGTTCCTCGGGGCCCAACACTGGCTCTGGGGCTGTGAACTGCACTTTCATCTAGAGCACGGAAAGAGCTGCAAATCATATCATACCAACCCCTCGTAATGTTATGGCGCTTGTAGAACAGGCAGTTACAGACTGCTATTGCGTACAGCTAAAAATTAGCCAGACCCTCGGAAATTGGGTGATATGCAATAACAGTCCGCTTCACAGACATCACGCCATCACGAGTACGTGGGGCCGAGCAGCATGGCCAAATCAAACAATCTCTAGGAATTGGTGGACGATCCCGAAAGACAACCCGACAATTAGATCCTCCCTCAATCGAGTGAGCGCTCATGATTCATAACTATGGACAAACCATTCTTTTCAGTATCGGAGGGTTGAGGGTAAGTGAGGCGAAGTGGGTGTGATTGGACCGCAGGTCACTTCGGCCACTCGAAGGCCAGTATATAGTGGTATCGCTGTGTTGGGGTGGAATAGAGGACTCGCCCGGCCTCTCCCCACCCCCCTAGAAAACGCCGAGGTTGGCCCTTCATCTGGTTACACTCACCAAACTTTGGCTAGTGGAACTGAAATTGCTTCAGATGGTCACTCCCTAAGTGCAACGACACCCCCGTGATAACCCGATGCCATAAGTTGGGCTGCTGGAACTGGACTCGTGAAATCGGGTGGCTTTGGCAAAAAAAACCTATCATAACGCATGGAACTCGAGCCCCATTGCGAGCGAGCGCTAAACGAACATAAAAGGAATTAGAACTTTCAAATTTCCTCGGCATAGTGGAGAGCTGCGTGCTGTGCCGTGCGGCCGTCCTGGATACCTTCCCTCTCTTGATTGTTGGACGGGTGTCAATTGATGCCTTCCGGATTTTCGTTGGTTTGGTTATGATATTTACATATTTCTCCTAATGTACAACACAGGGACTGTTCGTCACCGCTTGAGATGACTGCCATTAAAAAGGATGTTTGCGGGAACGCTCTTTGAAAGGAATGCTAAAAGCGGACAAAAGTCTCCAGGAGACTGCAGCCGGCCCCTGAGTTCGAAATACTTTATTTCGAGTGGAAAACTAAAATGTACTGTAGAGGAATGAAGTATGATAGGTCCTGTGAAGAGGCAGAGAGGAGGCGATAGAGAAAAAAACCGAAACTCTGCTTACTGCCCCAGTTGATGCGACGTTAATAGTACTCGAGTACATGTACGAGGCTATCTGCAAAATTCGCTGACACTTCCCCATTTTACACCAAAAATGGCTGATTTTAACAATGTTCAACTTGTCTAAAAGCAATGGAGAATCAATAAAATCAATTCCATAGTGTAGGCAATTGTGCAGAATTTCTGGATAAAAATCATCACAATTTCCCCACCACACCTTGAGGACTGAGAGCTAAGGGGCCAGATTAGAGGCAGTTGCAATGTATCTTTTGTATGGGAAACCCATATAAAATTAGAAGTATCTTTTGCTCGCCACTCTTTCTTCCAGCACTATACTATAGACATTAACCGACCAGGCTCATCACTTACAAATGACGATACCTGAATGGCTCTAAAGGCTCTAAAAAAAAATTTAATTTTTTTACCCAGTGAAAAGGCCGGGATTTTGCAGAGTGAAAGTAGCTGTTTTTGGTGTAAAATGGGGAAGTGTCAACAAATTTGGCAGATAGCCCTGTACGAAGCTGGTAACAAAAATTACTGGTAGAAATCGTTCATCACAACAACAACCAGACACCTCCTATTAGCGAAAAATGACCTCTACTCCTCCACAAAAGCCTCTGCATGGTGAATGGCATACTCCTATGCGAACCAGAGTCCTCACCTTACTTGATATTGGATTATCACAGTCCAAGATTTCACAGCAGACGGGGGTTCCGCAACAGACAATAAGTGACTGGAAAAAGTTACAAAGACCACGCTGCCCACATAACTGACCCAGATGTCCATACTACCTTGATAAGCATGATGTTTGCCACTTAATTGCTCATCTACGAAGTGGCTGGGCGGGGCGACAGCTGTGCTGGCGAAGGTTAGGTCAAGAGGTAGGATTGAGTACTTCTCCGATGATGATTAAATGAGCTCTGGAAAAGGAGGGGTACACAAGGTGTAAGGCTTGCAATAAGCCTTTTATCAGTTATTACACCCAACTGAAGCGTAAAGTATACGCTGATGAACATATGCAAAAGCCCAAGGAGTAGTGGTGAAAGCATTTGTTTTCTGACGAGTGTATGTTTGATATCTCACGAAGAGGTAGTATTTGGGTTACTCGACTTCCCGGCAAGCGCTATCACGACCATTGCATGCAATGTAGTTTTTACAGTAGCTGTGTATCTGTAATGGTATGGGGAGCTGTGAGCTATAACTGGAAGACTCCGTTGATCTTCCTCAATGGTACAGGTCCAAAGGGAGTAGTAGCTCAAGACTATCTACATCAGGTACTCAAACCTGTTGCTGCTCCAGCCTATATGAACCTTCTTGACTATGATGCTTCTCCAGAAGCCCAATATATTGAAGACCAAGCCTCAATCCATGGGACTGGTCACATACTTGTCGAGCCTAAAATGACTTTAGGTATCCCATTGCATTCATGACCAGCCTCCTTACCAGACCTCAACCCCATCGAGAATGTGTGGAGAATACTGAAACAAAGGATCAAGGCAAGAGCTAGATTTCCTAAAAGTATTCATGAGATAAGAATTGCTGTACAGGAAGAGTGGAATCGGTTACAGCCAAGAGATTGGAACAAGTATATAGACAGTATGCCGGAACAGCTCGCACAGGTCAAGCGACGGAAAGGGATGCAAACTGAATTTTAATTTCTTTCATATATTCTCATTTACCTACTTTACTCTTTTTTTTATTTTTAATTTCTCATCTGCTTCTGTTGTTGAAATATCGTCATTGCATGAAGGTGGTTCCTTGTTTTGAGTATCGTGATTTGTGGTTGTTACCGGTGATTTTTGTTACCAGCTTCGTACAGTCTCAACGACAAAACCCTAGCGGGTGACGAACAGGTATCTGGCGGGCAGAAAAGTGGATTCGTCAAAGTAGGGTAACAAAAAAAATCCTTGTTATCATAATATTATTATGATTCCGTCGATCACTGACAAATCACAACCAAGGATCAAGTCAATTTTTGCCACACTTGTATGAGTGGTGGGTGGCCCATCGTGGCTCAGCACTGTACGACAGTGCATGCGGATCACCGCCCGTCGATCCAACCTGATAAGCACAATCCCGTCTCCGACAGCACAAGACCGAATTCAGGCACTCACGATCATTTCCATCAGCCACACCAGTCCCAACCAGAGTGTATCGGGACGCTTTGCGGGGTCCGAATACCTTTATCCGTTAACGGACCAGCACCCGCATGCCGCTAGTTGACGATCCCTCGCGCCCGCCCGATTGAACGAATCGCCGTGGCTTGGAAATACGTTTCGCGTGGGTTGGTCGGAAGGGGGTTGTTTGATTGCGGCAATAACTACCCTACGAGTACGCTGGAGTAGACCCGCGCGAAGCGAGAGAAGCGAGGAAGGAGGAATGGGGCTTGTGGGGTGCGCTGGGTGGGAGGGGGTATGTCGCGGCGAAGAGGTAGGGATAGATATGATATGAAGAGTATTCTTCCCACGGGCGAATTCACTTTAAGAACCAGTCGATGTAAAAATAGTTAAAACAAACTTTCTTACTTAAGAAAGGAGTGGGGGAGCAGAGCGCTCTGTTCGCACACGGGTGTTCGATGTGTTTTTAGCGTCCCAGAACGTGAGCCTCGCACCAGCGGGCCCGCAGAATTTTGTTCCCATCAAGCCACCCACTGTGCCGTAGCTGGGCCACTTGTTTGATCTCGTTCCGGAGGCTTTAGAAAAACCGTTGAGTATCATATACATGAGCGTATGGTAACGTGAACTACAAGAAGAGAGAGGAGGGGAACACCATTTTTTCAGCCCTTCCCTCTGGCTAGGTTGTGGTTGGGTACAGACGCGCCACGCCCGCATTGGCACAGGAATGGCACAGGAAAAGAAATAGTTGCTTTACGCGTGAGAATAAGAAGAAACTCGTTCGATATCGAAGTCCTGAGAGAAAGCTCAATGCTCATCCTCCCTTCACAAACTGGCGCCCATACATTAGAATAACCACCAAAGGCCAAAGGGAAAACAAACACAAGAGTGGCAGTAATATTCGTACAAAAGAGTGGTAAGAGACGTTGTCTGCGCTGCTTGAGGGTTGAGTTTGAAGCAGAAGAGTGAAAGGTATCTCTTAAAAAGAATGGCTACTGTATACAGTATAATAATCATTCAAGAAAAAGAAAAACAGAAAAGAGGGGGGATGTATGGACAAATACGAGAATAGCGTCTTGTCTGGCACTCAATAAAAATGCTTTTCCGACTATCATAATTTATGATATCATTTTTGTTGCAAAGGAAATATTTTAACATTAGACTTTTAGATACAGCTCAACGTGTGGGCTTCCACTAGATTTTTATTTTGGCAGCAACTGCTATTAAGACAGCTGCTATATGGATACGAGTTTTTCCTTTCTATGATACTCTTTAGTCAAAGGGATTCGAACTTAGGAGGGATTGCGTAAGGGAAAGTTACAAGTCAGAAGTATGTCCCATGTTCGATTTTTGACGAAGCACCGCCGAACCGGGATACAACTGCGGGGAGTATGAAGACTTGGCAGCAATGCTCGAGGCAACGTTTGGGAGGGGCCAGGAGCACACAGCAACACAAACTTCCTGCAGTGAAGTAGTTTTACTCCCTCTGAAATTTTCGCCGAGGGACCCAATTTCCAGCTTCTAAGTTTCCCTGAGTTGGGCGTCGTTACTCTAATGGGAAAAGGGTAAAGGAAATGGGAGGGATGGGAGGAATAAGAATAGAAAGCAGGGTAAAAGGGAAATAAAAGTTGCATATCAGAATAATAAGCAACACGCTTGAGCCCACTTGGGGTTATCTGAGCCTGAAGCATAGGAAAAGAGGTATTCCGCTCACAAAAGAGTGGCTATACAGGAGAAAAACCGATCAAAAAACACATGGTTAGAAGGGATATTGAGGAAAGAAGAAAGCGAGCTTTTTTTTTTGGGGGGGGGGGGGTCTGTTTGGGAGGGGTTGTTTTATCCACATCTCGTTAACCCTCCAGTTTTTCACTGGCGAGCATAGCAAGAATCAAGATATCTATGTATGAATGTATCGACTGCTCCGTTTGAGGCTCGAGCATAGCAAGAATCAAGGAATCTGCTTGACAACGAATCATGCGCTGCTCTTCGATCATTCTGACCATCTCTCTTGTTCTACGATGAGACTGAAGAGCGATGGCGAGTGAGGCTGGGCCCTTGCGGGGCGTCTTCTTCGCCCTCTCCACTTTCTCATAAGAGGTCTTTTTTGGGTAGCGGGGTTTTTTAGACGAGGGTGTTTTTTTTGAGCGGCCGCCCGTTTTCTGAGCTGAGGCCAAGGTGGCAGAAACTGCTGGCCCTAAAGCAGAATCGGCTCTCCCAGCAGAGCTGGCTTTCCCAGAGGAGTTCTTAGAATGAGCTACCATATTTTTCCTTTTTTGTTCCCTTCTTATTAGTTCTTCATTTCTTATCCGCACCTGTAAACGAGACAAAGCAAATAGGACCGGGAGAGTTGGGGAGGGCGGAAATGGTATCACACCTCAAGATAGATCTCGCGAGGGTAAAGTTTTTTGAGATAAGACGAGGATGCGTTTCTGATGAAGAAATTGAGGGTGTTGGTGGAGGATGTTTCGATGGAGTGGAAGGTTGGGTGTGTGGAGGGGAAGGTATATGTATCGTGGAGGACGATGGGAGAAGCAGTCTCACATACTCGTGACAACTTCTTTCGGGACTAAAGTTTGTTCTGGGCTCTGTTCCATCCTCCGTAGGCTTACCATTAAAAACCCCATAAAACAAATAACTTGGAGCTAAGCGATAATCAACACGTACATTAATGCAATATATCGTACAAAAACAACGAATTGGACAAATGTGTATCACCCTTTTTCAACATCCGAAACGAAGACCTCTAGGAAAGCCACAGCCTTCCGTTTATCCTCAGCTGTTTTGTTTCCCCCCTCCTTCCGGATGATCGCTTCAGCAAATACTTCGAGTATTGCATGCTTAACAACCACGCCTCTCGCAGCCCTCAATCTGCCAAAGGGCAATACACCTTGGATCGGTGATAGAGGGCTTGTGACACTATCTGCGTCCAACGATGGTAACTGAGAAGGTATGGGCGATGATAATAGAGAAATGATTTCCATTATGAAGCCTGTGAGATATACAAATACGTTCGCATGGGCCGGTGAGAGCGATGTAAATAATTTATCTAGAACCTATAATCGAACACATGTGTAAGTGCAAAGCCCATCACACATCACAGATGGCTCTTTTTATTCACACCTGCTCGGCCAACATTTTGTCCGCGCCAGCTTTGTATACGTCGAGCCATATATCCTGAGGAACAACTCCTTCCTTAAGGTTCCGGAGCCATTGGAGCAACACACCAGCCACAACCTCCACAACTTCCGTCACCTCAAGGGTTTTCTCGTCATCCTCGCCAAACGAGAAAGTGAGTGTTGCATTGTCGTCAAGTTCCAGATCTTTATCCATGCATTCCCAAACACCGACCGAAAGGTTTTCCCTCTTTCCCCCACCGACTGCCCAGGTACTGTCGAGGAAGGGCCAGCCAAGCTTAGAGCTCAATCTCCCCTCCTCTTTTGTCATCTCTCTCAAATGCTTGAGCAGATATTCCGTCATCTTATAGAGCTCCCTAGGGGCAGAATATAGGACTTCTCTTTTACACCCTACATCCTCTTCCTTCCACCCTCTTATCCCACCAGCTCCCTCGGGGATACTCACAAATTCCTTCAATCCCCTTCCGAAGCCGCTCTGTAGCCACTGTCCCTCGATAGGTAGAAATACGTCTCTCCCTTCCATGATCCTAAGCACAAGGACATCCATGATCGTTTCCTTTCCTTCGTTTTACGACCTTACTTGCT